ATGTCTACAAGCACTAGGTTGTTGCCATGTTATTGGCTGTTTATACTTATATTTGCATTAATTAGCACCGGTATACCAAACAAAGTAGTGAATGGATACTATATAAAACAAAAAAAATCCAAAATTGGACATGCGCTGCAACATAAAGCAGTACATAAAACACGATGCACCTCTTAAAAAAGCAGTTGTTGCAAAAATTGTTCAGGAACAGCCTGAGAAAAATGACATTGAGCCCAAGGTGCTGACCTGACCTCTAAATCCCTGAGATCCCAATCCAATCAGGCTTCATGCATACAGGCCCCACCCTGCCAAACCCCGAGGATCCGCTCCCAACATCTCAGTGTCAGGCAGCTCGCGTGACTGTGCACCAAGGGGTCAACTGTTTCAAAATTACATTTACAAGCTGCTGTCTGTGTTGACAGAGCATGTAGCAAACCTTTAGTCCGATTAAACTACTTTAATAAACAGAGTTTTTAATGTCTATTTCCCATAAGACACTCGTCTGTATCAGTGCATCTTTATGTCTGTTATCTTTTTGATCATTCTGTTATTTGCTCTGTTGTTCTGTTGTCTTGAAGAAACGCGAGTGTGTTGTCTTGAGCAGGAAAAGAGGAAAAAATGTTGTTTTGTTTTGGGAATGATGTGCTTGAGAGCAAGCAAACATTGCATCAAATCAACTCTGAAAAACATAGTCTAACAATCCAACACAGTCCATCACAGTGAATAGAATTACTGGATTTAACTTCATATCATACAATATTACACAGGTAATTTTAAACGTTGTGGCTTCTTTTTATGTTTTCAATATTGTACTGCCAAACAGTGTCCACCAGAGGTCAGTGCTTGATAAGAAGCCACAGGTGCCTTTGCTGAGTTGTGAATGGAATCAGATTTTTAAATCAATTTCTATATTGTACTTTTACATAAATATGGCTGTAAAAAGCAAGTGTGTTTATCTGTGCATCTGTTTGTAATTTTACAGACTGAAAAATTGTTATTTCTCTACATGCATTAGAAATGACAGAAACCTCTGCGTGAAGGCCTTACATGCAAAATTTATCAAGTAAGTTCTGTGCTGACAATGAGAGTGAATCCATTAACATAAGATATTAGGTTAGTGTATTATTTGCTTCTTTTTTAAAAAAAATGTAGTCAGAGCAAGAAGCACCCATATCTTATGGAAATATATCTTAGATTGAAGGAAGGGTGTACTAAGAAGAGGATTTTTATATTTTGCTTTTGTTCCATTTCAAAAATGAATATGAGATCTTTGAATTAACTCAGCTGGTTGGTTTTTGTGCTCCTTGTTAAGAGAGTCAGTTAAGAGCGAGAAGCTAGATTGTTGCAATGACCTTTTATTAACCTTTTTTTTTATTATAAGTCCACACAAAATACAGAAAGAGGAGAAGCAGCAGACTAATAAATTGACAAGGTGTGCATTCTCTCTGACTCGATCACATTCTTAGTCCGAGTGTCCTAACAGTGAACACTCGCTAACTCGGCTCTTTTGATACACTAAATTACCCTCCTGGTTGCGGGCAAAGCAATGGGCGGTTAACAGGACAGGTCACCTCTCTTTTTTTTCAGTTCACCTAATTAACATTCCAGTGTAGGACAGCATAGCTGTACTCCACTTCTAACACAGACATGCACAGACACAGCAAAGCCCCATCCTTCTCCGCCTCCATAAACACGGGCTCAGGTTGATGAGCTGTGAGGGGTCACAGCTCATCAGCAGTCCGGGAAGCCATGCTGGCTGCTCACTCTGTCTCATACGCCACTGATGCCTTCAGCAGCAGGGCACAGAGTTCAAGAAATAGTCAGTAATTGAAAACGTTATGTGAGGACCCTGAAAATCTTGGTATTTAGCAAAATAAATATCAGTTACATTGTTTTGTAGTCTAGGTATGATAACTTCTAAAGTGAGTTTTCAGCAAGGTTATGCAGTTTTACCGATGTTAAGCCACAAAGGCAAAATATCAGCCTACCGAACTGATATTCAGGGACCAACTTGGTAGTCAGATTAACTGGGCTAGATACTGCACACTCTGCAAAATATACACTCTATTTCACTATATATAAATAAATGAACTTGAACTTGAAAAAGGATTGCTGACAGCACATGCCTCTCCCTGGCATGCTTTATTACAATTTCAGACTAGGCATATGGTTGCAGTGTCATGTCGTGTGAATGAGATGATGAAACGGAGGTCAAGGAGGGAGCGCATAACCTGTCAGGAGCTAAACCACAAATTTACAGCCTCCTCATCTTGGAGTCAGACGTGTTCCAAGAAAGCACAGTACAACTGTCTGGCCGTTCATTTTATCGTCTGTATCGACGATGAGTGACAGCATTGGACCCCCCAAAATGTTGTAATCATTACGATCTACACACTCATCTGTGGTTGCAGTGGCCCAGTCACTTTCTCATTCTCCTGTTCCTTTTCTTTTCTTGATCTCATTTTCTCCATCCAAAATTATCCCGGGCCACGACACGAGCTGAGAATAGGAGCTCAAGCCCCCATATTGAGCCCCTTAAAGACCACAGCTGGAGCTGGCTCAAAGCGAGACAGGGGTAGAGGGAGGCCTGGATGATGAATGTTATCGCCACCATCACCTGCTCCCTGTAAAGCAATTTGTTATGGAGTTGTCACTGTAAAATAGCCTGTCCTGTGGTAAAGAAAGACAGGGTTACATGTAATGAGGATCATAGTATGGCCCTAAGGCCAGGTATGACATAACTGAAGGACAAACAGCTGGCCTATGTTTGTCTATGACATAGGACGAGAAGAGAAAATGTGCAGTAATAGACGAGCCAGAGATTTTAAGCCTTCATTACTAAATTATTATTGTAAAGAATGCAATGTTATATCAGTAAAATTTATAATTACATACTTATACAATGATAAATAGTACTTTTAAGAAAAAACTTGGTAAATTCCCAGCTGAAGAACAGTTTGCATTCACATGTAAAACACACTATTACATTTCCTCTCTGTGCTGTGGTATTTTTAGGCAGCAGCATTGTTATTGACCTTTACTTACATCCCTAAATAACACCCTGGATTTGCACTGATTAAAATGACTTCACACACTCATACACATGACATCTTGGTCTGCCTACCTGCTGGATACACAAGACACTGATTTACTCACCTAAGTCGAAGGGATACAAGCCAGAAATGTCCTTGAGGTGGGTCAGATGTTTCCACATTACCCAGCTGATATTGGATCAGGACTGCTGGTATGAGCTGAACTACAAACATGCGCTCCAGAGGAATTACAAAGGGAGTTTCAAATGCTTGTACCAAAAAAGAACATTTTATTCTCCCACTGGGTTGCATGGCACAGAGGAAACTTTAGTAATTTATTAATCATTTTTCAGCAGAAGGGAATTATACTGAGCACTATGCCAAATTTTGGATAAACCGCAGAATACTGCAGGACGTGACAGTTCTAAAAATTGTTCAAGATCGACAATAAATCTACTTTTATTCACGTGGAGCTCAAATTAATAAAGAAGGAAATTTTTATTCTACATGTTCAGTTGTAACTGGAGGGAACTCTTGCAGCATCTGGGCTTTCAGTGTCTAAACGTATACTGGTGCATCTTTCATCCATGTGTACGCCTCTTACATGACCTTTGTTATAAAAAAAAAAAGGAGACGGGGAGGCAGAAGAGATATTTATCTGTGATTACTAAGAGAAACAAAAAGAATCAAAAATGACAAACATGAGGGAAGCCAAACAGTTCAACAATCAAATGTGTTCCTCTTCACAGGGAAGGCGTAGGTGGCCACAAACACACAGGCCACACGCTTTCAATACAAAGACACTCTAGCACTGGGGTTTTACTCTCCATCACCTTAAGTATTTCCAGGCCTAATTGCTGAGTGGAGTCAACTTTTAGCAGTTTGATTCAGTTTTATTTATACAGCACTAATTCGCAATAACAGTCACTTCAAGGCCCATTATATTGCAACATAGTGACCCTACAATATTAGAGAGAAAACAGCAACAATCAGATGATCCCGACTGAGCAAGCATTTGGATATAGTGGAAAAGACGAACAGAAGAAAACGCAAAATACACACAAACAGCAAAAGCACTGCTTGGGTGGTTCAGATCAGGTTTGGTGTAGATTGCAAGCTTGATGTCTTCTCTTATATGTATATATTATACACATACATGCATACAGTTTATTAAAACATATGCATAGGAGTGGCTTCGTGCAACGTACAGTAAACAAACAAAACAGAAGAATAAGAGCAAAATCTGGACCGGATCAGTATTGTGTAATCATCCTTTGCCTTTTACCTTATGAGTTCATACCTTTGCATGCATCTATTGGATTCTCTATTTGGGGAACTCTCTCCTCTGTTCTATAGATGCTGTTAAAGGTTATATTTACTGTAAAGCCAGATTTGCAAAGAGTTTTGCTGAACGTAATAAACAAACTGGCCCCTAATGACAAGTTTAATTTTGGACTGAAACTTCTGCATGTCAGCGATTGTAAATCTGTTTAAACATGTGTTCCTTTGCCAGGGACCACACAACCTAAAATCTTAAAAAAGATGAGACCAGTTACATTAGAGGAGCAGATGCAATGAGCCCTGGGAAGGATTATGTATTTCTGATCATGTGTAAACGCTTACACACTTGCATCATTACTGAGATCTGATTTTTCCAAACTAAACTTTCTCTCATATGACAGAAAGAGAAAACAGAGACAACCTTCTTACCGACCTTTTAATTAAATGAGCTAACGAACTGTGATGCAGGTGTAAATTAAAGAGTGGATTAATTGATTTGCCGGGAGAAGTCAGGCAGAACCTCCTTTCCTTCTGTCTGCAGATCTGCATACCGGTCTCTGTAATTTTTTGACAAAGGGCATTGGTGTGGTGAGAAGGGAGGGAGGGGAGGCGCAGACAGCTGACGCACTGAAGAGGAAAGCGCAGCGTTTCGGTGCGCATCTTCATTATCGGCAAGTGGGATGAAAGGTGAGCAGCGCCTGTCCCATCCACGCAGACACTTTTCCTATGTCAGGATCTGATTCGAGTGGCTTTTATCAGTTACGAAACTGATCATCGGCATTGGATTTTATAGTTTGCAACTTCTCACAGATTTAGTGAAGCCAGATTCGGAGCGCAACAGCTGAGGAGAAGACGTGAATCTACGCAAGATTGTCTGAAACGAAGGACTCATCCCGCTCACTTAAGTGCAATGTCCAAAGCTTATGGATGTAATGCTAGAAAATCAAGGCTGCATTATGACAGCGAATAACTGAGGGGTCTCAAAAGCACTTTTCCTCTTTCCTAACTTTTATTTCCACCAGATGATGGAGGACGCGCAGGCGTCAAGGACTTTCACGCCTTATTGCACAGCCAATACATGAAAAGAAGAAACATGATGACATCTACGGGCTTGTCGGAGAAAGCAATGAGGATCAGAAATGGGGCAGGAAACCACCATCACTCCAAACCCATCTCTAAAATATACTTCATCTTTATTTTGCTCCTGCTCATATTCACACCGATAGTGGATTCATCGTGGTGGTAAGTTTCACCACTGAGAGGAATTTGATGGTTCGTCCGATTGGTTGGTGTCACATACCAATCGAATATAAAGTACGACTTACAACAACGACAACAAGGGCAAAATTTCACCCAGAAAATATAGATAACGATTAGTTTTAATTAATTAAGTTTGCAGTTGAAAAAGTTATCTTACAGTGGATTTTATTGTTTAACCCTATGTATCCTTGTCCTTGGAGCTGTTACAGATTTAAAGATGAGAAATCCGTCTGTTTATATGTAATTTACACCTGCTTACTTCTCAGATTTTCTAGTAAAAGATCTACTTTGCTCACATGAACATCCACATCCATAAACGAAAAGAGCAGGCTGTGTATCCAAAGTTCATGAAGATTAATGATGTTGATGTGTGTGTTTGGGTGTGTGTGTATGGGGGGAAGGGGGCGTCTCCCCTATCCATCTATTTTGCCCAGAGTACACGGCAGGTGCAGGCGTTGGTGCATGAATAAATGCCCCTTGATGATTTCTCTTGAGGTTTTCAAGACCTAAAACATGCTGGAGACCCCCCACCCCCAGTCTCTCTCACCTGACATTGTTGTTCTCATATTTCAGGTGACACTTAACAGAAAACCTATTAAATGACTTTACATTTAACTAGCCAAGGGAAACCCCCCATTTTAAGATCTTACCCTACACTTCATAACAGTTAAGATCTAATTTATGAATTTATTTAAAGCTAAAACGCACCCATTGTAAATAATGCTATGTCTGGTAATTTCCCAAGAGAGCCGAAAGCACATATCATCCAATTTGCTCTTGAGTTTCCCTTTCAGGCAAATTCAGAGTAAACTGTGAATAAATCGTTGAGAAATTCCAAAGAAAAACGTAATTGATTCCTGCTTTTTTTAAAAAATCTTCCTTTGAATTGTTTAGGCCTATTTTTAACTATTGTAATAATTTATATAAGCACTGTGCGCCTTGCTGCACTTCTCTCTTCTTCTGTGTGTGTCCTCTTGGAGAGTCAGGGGTCCTTTGGCACAGCTGGTTTGTACAACACACAGTAAACACAAGCAGTGCTTCTGTTCTGCTATACTGCTCAGGCAGATAGTTGCATCTAGAATGGGACTGGGACAGCCATAAGAGGAGTGGAAACTACCTGCTATATCTGTTTCTGTCTCAGTGGCCAGGCAACACAAATGCGGCTGCGATTAGGGACTATAATGATATCCGGATGGAGAATAGAGTGTGTAGGCTTATAGATGGACTGGGGGGGGGGAGTGCTCATTTGTACTGTAGATGACGGCCATGTCCTGTTGATAAGAGAACCCCCAGAGTCACAATGCAATCAGCATGTGATCACCCTTCTTAAGAGTTGTTACAAAGTTGGGGATTATTTGAAGAAAGCAGGAAGCAAATGCATTTCACTGAACGAGAGGAATGTAATAATCTCTTCAACATCCTGAATATCTGAGTCTTAAGAAGACAATGGGGATGAATGTGAAGAAAAGTAGGAACAGTATCAATAATTTAGATTCATCGAAAAACATTTTACACGGGGAGAAAAGTAGTAATAGTAAAGTTAACTGGCACAGAAGACAGAAAAAGAAAAACAGTTTGTCCTCTCTTTGTCTGAAGGCAATACAATCCACTTAGCAGCTTTACTATAGCTTACTTGATGTTTAATGTTCCATAAAACAAACCAAAGAACTGCTTTTGTCCTGGGGCAGTCTCGTGGTTTGCTTAGATACAACTTTGCAAAACTAAGACATGCTGCCTTGTCTTTTTAGAGAAGAGCCTTTCTCCTGGCAACTTTTCCAAACAAGCCATAATTTACTTGCTTTATTATTATTTATTTATCTGTAATTTCTTTGAGTATTGCACATGACATTGTGTTAACACAAACCTGAATGCTTCAGACCACACCTGCTAGGAGCACCTGGCTGTTTAATCTTTTAAATTTGTCAGTTTGTTAAATTTATGTTGGTAATTGTTTTCTTTTCTTTTTTATCTATTTCTTTTGCTAGTTTAAAATTCTCCATTAGTGGGAGATCCTTTCCTATTTTTACACTAGCCACATTTGGGAATATTAAAACATTTTTTTTAAATATATAATGAATATTTTCTACCATACTGCTGTACCTCACTGAATGGCAACTGAATTAAATGTTGCTCAGGGGTTGCTCCTAGACTGCAGGCTGCACTTGAGAACCCTGTGATTACAAAGAAGGAGCACTGAGTACAGATGTCTGATAGTTAAAGGGCTTTTTTTAACATGAAAGCAGCAGTGATCAGTAGCAGGCTCCTTTGAGTCCATAGAATTTAATGAGCTCTTAAATGTTGGTTACCCATAATATAACCCAAAGATTTTTTGGGGGACCCTCTATATCTGGTAAACACTGGAATCTTCTTCACTCAGAGTTCCCAATTTCCCAATTTTTTACACATTTGATTAGAAATGTGAATTGTTTGAAGATGTAGTCAGACCAGATTTCACGCTGACAGCTTACATGTGTTGGCATTTAAAACAAGTGGCACACCAAAGGCCATGTAGGGTGGGCTTCACCCCATTACCCTAAATGCAGCAAACATACGTCTCTGTACTATTTCCACTATTTGTATATTTCTTGAAAATCAGATTGGACCTTAACCTCTTGCAAATCAGCTAGCTCAGCTAGCTACACAATTTTTTCTGTTTTTGTCTCGATGAAAACAGGAAGGCAAATTTGAAAGTAAACTCACTGGAAAAAGAAATCCTGGCACACAGTCTAGTGACAGCTGCAGGTGCACTACCACAGAGTGCGCTTTCAGTGGAATTGTCCTTGAATTTACCAACACTGTGTTCGATGGATCTGTGCGCAGGTACATCGGAGCTCTGGGTGCGCGGGTGATATGCGACAACATTCCCGGTCTTGTGAACAAGCAACGGCAGCTCTGCCAGCGGCACCCAGACCTGATGCAGTCCATCAGCGAGGGAGCCAAAGAGTGGATCAAAGAGTGCCAACATCAGTTCAGACACCACCGCTGGAACTGCAGCACGCTGGACCGGGACCACACTGTTTTTGGCAGGGTGATGCTCCGAAGTGAGTCTGAACATACATGGCTAAGGCTTCTATCTGTGTGGTTCTTTGTGCGTGACAGTGGTTGTTTATATCAGTGACACTCAAGTTAATCATCCTCATAAATGTCTCCTCTGTTATCAGATAAGCAGGGAATTAATAGGTGTCTTATTAAATCAACTTTACCCTGGAATGCAAACAGAAAGAGAAATTGTTGTGGGTTTTTTACCTTCTCAGGAATGAAGGAACATTGGGAAAGTGGATGTTCTCTGAAAACAAGTAGCAGATTGAGAGATCCACACTGGTGATGTATAAACAGTAATAGGAGATGTAAATATTTGGGTAGATGTTTCTGGCAGCCAGACAAAGCTTTACTCCCTGACATCTCGCCTGTGTTCTGCTTCATTGCGTGAGCAGGAATGAGAACAGGAGGAGGGTGGGACAGCCAGACCAAATAACCTCCAAAATCTCCTCTCATCTAAAATGAAAACACTGCTCAATGACTTAGAAAGCTGCCATCTGTGCAAATTAATAGGTGAAAGGAGAGTCGGCTGGTCTAATGTTATAGCTGACATGCTGCTACCACTGTCTGGACCATCCACCATAGATGGACTGATCTTGGTATGCCTACCTTGTAGAATTTGCAGAGAGATGACTGCTTTACTCACCAATAACACATGGCTCTGGGAAATAGAAGAACAGCTGAGAAAAACAAGTGCTATGACAACTTTTGAATAATGTCACATGTCAGATATAGGCAACATTAGGTCTCTCTTTACCAACAGTCGTAAGTTACTTCTTTAAATGATTGCAATTGCAACGCTCCCTTCCCCGTCTATCCAGGCAGCAGAGAGGCAGCATTTGTGTACGCCATCTCTTCAGCAGGAGTGGTCTACGCCATTACCAGGGCCTGCAGTCAGGGGGAAATGAAGATCTGCACCTGTGACAGTCAAAAACGAGGGCAAGACAGTGACGACAAAGGCAATTTTGACTGGGGCGGATGCAGCGACAACATCAACTATGGCATAAAATTTGCCAAAGCTTTCGTCGACGCCCGTGAGAGGATGGTGAAAGATGCTCGAGCCCTGATGAATCTGCACAACAACCGATGCGGTCGGATGGTCAGTGGAAACGTTTTTTATATTAATGTTTAAGCTTTATCTCTTAATGGAATTGTAAATTTAGACATATTTAGGAAGTAACAATGAAAACAACAGGCTTTTCAGGAACATTTTCAGGGGACGCTTTTATTGTTGTTTTTGTTAAACGTAACATTGACCTACAAATTTATTCAAACATAAAAAGGCACCCAACTCAAGCGATGAACCCTTTTTGTGTCTGCACACAAGAGATAGCTTAACAAAGACCCAATGAAGAAAAAAAAAAAGTAGAAATAAAAACCAAAAAAAGACGTGTCACAAAACCTGAGAGATACACATGGCCCTTCAACTCATCCGTCTTCTGTGAGTCATAGATTGGTCTCTCCAAGCTTAAAGTTGGTCATAATAAACATCGACTCTTAAAATCATTAGAAATTTTTTTTTGCCTAAAGATGTCTTCAACTACTAGGCTAGTTGACTTACTTGACTAGGAAGTAAATCTCTTAAGACTAAGAATCTGTTTATTGAGAATATTCCGCATTATCCCAGCATCTATTGATGATCCAGCATAATGCATATTAATATGATAACTGCATATGAGGGTCCCATAGCATTAAATTCTGCACTGTTCAAGTTATTGACATGGCTTTTTCAGTAAAGACGTCTCTGAAGGATAATGACGTAAAAGCTGTTACATTAAGAATATTTAGCTAACCGTTATGCTAGGAGAGCTTATTACACCTACATCTTCTCTTGTACAACATTGTTGGCTTGACACTGTGTCACCTTTGATCTCTGCTCCAGGCAGTGAAGCGCTTTATGAAGCTGGAGTGCAAGTGTCACGGGGTCAGTGGTTCCTGTTCTCTCAGAACCTGTTGGCTGGCTATGTCTGACTTCAGGCGAACTGGAGACTATCTTCGCAAGAAGTACAACACAGCCGTCGAGGTAACCATGAACCAAGATGGGACAGGATTTATTGTGGCTGACAAGGACTTTAAGGGAAGCACCAAGAATGAGTTAGTCTTTGTTGAGAACTCTCCAGATTACTGTCTCATGGACCGTGCAGCAGGTGAGACACACAAATAAGCTACAAAAATAAAACCCCTTGCTTTATATTGTGTACATCCACAGTCCTCAGTCAGAACAGCTTTGACTAGTTGAGGGATGGACAAGAGATCTCTGAGGGTGTTCATTGGTATTTGGCACCAGCATGTTGGCAGCAGATCATTTGGGTCCTGCAATTGCAGCAGGTGGGGGTTTCCGTGGATCTACTCTTCCCAGCATATTCAACAGATGTTCGATTACACTGTGGTGTCTGGAGGCCTGGTCAACACCCTGAGCTTTTTTCCAACACCAGCAGCTTTTGTAGTGTAGTGGGAAACACTGTCCTGCTGAAGGAGGCCACTGTCTTTGGGAAAACAACGTTTAGGCAGGTGATATGTGCCACTAGTGAGACTAGTGAAGTTTAAAAGAAGGGTTTTTATTATTATTATTGGCCAATGCTGATAATTCTTAAATAACTTGCTTGTGCTAACCTGCTAATTCTGTTTTTAACATGTCAAACTTTAGTAAAGTGCCACTGTTACACAAGAGTAATATTATTATGACAATCATTTATTATTACAGTAAAGAAATTGCCTTAAGGAGGGTCCTTTTAACTTCTGAGGAGTAGCATATTGATATGTTGTGTTTGTGGAAAACATCAGCAACTCACATTCTGAGATTCAGTGAAGTCCTTTTGAAGTTGTGCTTAAACAGTTTAATCATTTTTGTGTAAAATACTGTTATTATTATTTAATTTAAAATCATGAGTATGTTGTTATGGGATGGGGCAAATAGGACCGACTGCTTAACAAAATCTATGAGAATCAGAGACTCATTGACTGCAGGCTTGCATTCCTTCACAGCTTAAAGTTCAGTGATTTGACCTTTAACATCTCCTTTAATACCTAATGTTTGCTTTGCCTTGTTAGGCTCATCTCTTTCCTAAAGTCCAGCTCCTTCAGTAGAGCGTGAAGAACTTTGCTAACTCACTGTTAATATGTTAGGGACGATGGCATGTGCAGGGGACACGTTGGTTCTAACTTAACAGATTCTGTCACTCCTACCTGCGGTTAGCTTGGCCGCACTTTGACAACTGAGATGCAATGAAGGTGTGTTTGCTCAAAGGAAAAGCTGCCTTTCCTTGTTAAAAGGTGATCTTAAAAAGTAGCCGATGACCCTCCTCACCACTAATCTTCATTGTATAGGAATTCACAGCCTAAGGATACATGCAGGCTTATTTTTCAAATCTTTCCTTTGGTCAGCATTAAGCTCCACTCCCTAGAGCCTGAGGGGAAGATCTCCTCTTATCCTTTGTTCTCTAGACTTCTGGGATGCTTTGTTAATGGACCTGGCACCTGATCTTAGGCTTGGATTTTACACCTGAGTACATGAACACAATTGCATTTAGGTCTGAGACTATTCTGTTGGGAAGCTTATAGCCTGCTGAAGAGTGAGGGAAAGTGATATTTTGCTTTGGCAAAACAGTTTCAGTTTTCAGCATCAACATGAACATTGCCAATAATAACTTCTGCCAGCTTTCACTCCTGGGCATCCACGTAATCATGGAAAATTTTCAAAATGCTATTAAGCTGAGTTGGATGGCACAGTGCAGTGGATCTGTGTCTACCCCAGCTTCCTTCTGAGCACTGAGACATGCCTCTTAGGTTAAATTGGGATTCTAAATGGGTTTTAGGTGTGAACGCACAGGAGATAAAACACTTAGGTATATTGAAAAAAGTGCTCTATGGATACATGCGAAAAGGTGAATGTAGCTTATGGTGGAAAGACATTTGAGCGGTCAGTCAGACTATTTATTTGTGGTATAAATCGTTCAGTTCCCCAAGGGAATGCATAGACAGGAAACCCAGTATAGTTACTGGATGTGCACAATTAAAGTTCTATATTATGCCTACTTTAAAATAAGAAGCAACTTCTAATCAAGGAGCTGTACTTATCAGTGATTTAATAATGAAAGCACACAGAGGTATCACCCCTCTCTGTAGCTCTACAGGACACATCTTTGTTTCATGTTGATCAGCATCATTTCTGTCAGCAGCAGGTATTTCTGTTCCCTTAAATCTAATTGAATCTGCTGCATATTATCAGTCCAAATCAATTGTTTTTTCTAAAACAAAAAATAAAAGAGTCCCTGACCTTTAAAACTTTAACATATTACAGAAGTGTCATGAAATCCACTGCTTGTGTTAAGTTAAATTTTATATTAGCTGTTTAATATGTGTAAACAAAAGTATCGTACATATAACAAACATTTGATTTCTTTCATCCTAACCTGTATTTCTTATAGTGATAACTATTTATTTTAATAGTCTGGCAGGGCATGCACAGATGGCTGTCTTCTAATAAACTAACCCTTTTCCTGTCAGTTGCAGTACCAATATTCTTTGTATGCCAAAACAACATCTCTGGTCCTTTATTCTCATTATAGGCTCCTTGGGCACAGCAGGCAGAGTGTGCAACAAGTCCTCAAGAGGCATAGATGGCTGTGAAGTCATGTGCTGTGGGCGTGGCTACGACACCATGCGAGTCAAACGTGTCACTAAGTGTGAGTGCAAGTTCAAGTGGTGCTGCGCTGTGGAGTGCAAAGACTGTGAAAACGTAGTGGACGTTCACACCTGCAAACCCCACAAGCGACCCGACTGGCTGGACGTAACCTAGGAAGGAGAGCGGACAAATCAAACGTGCACCTGACTCATTAGCCTGTGCACTAATGACTCCATTCTAGTTGGGATCTTTTAACTATAATACCTCTGGCTTTTGATGCTTTTATACTTCACAAACATTTGTTAGGTGATAGTAAACTGGAAATTAGAACCAGTTACTGATCATGTGCTGCTTTAAAAAGTGTTTTAAAAAATAATGTGCGGAGCGTTTTTGAATCAGACTTTGAAACTTTGATGCAAAATGGCTTAATATTATATTCTGTTGTAAATGTACCCTTGGTTGAGGCAGATATATGAGCTACTGCCTGCTTCTTGTTTTATAGTATGTAAAAACTGTGTGCACATAAGAGATGAAAGAGATAATCACAGTAGTACTTTGTCTGCCGATCGCTCCTTCAAGGTTGCCTTGTACACCTCTGGACTGATTCCCATTCTATTAGAACACTCCCTTTTAGTGCACTCACACTCCACAGTGGCAAAACAGTGACCTTTAAATTTTTTACTTAATTTTATGAAAAAAGATCCAAGTTGTTTAGAACCAAATCTAATGGGTAGGGTGAGTGGTCCAGATGTTACAGCAGACCTCTGCACATGATTACTTGGAAACTGGTGTTAGCCTGTGGTTTTTGCTTTTCCAAAACTTCCAAAACTTTTTTGATCCCACCGTGCACCCGAAACCACTGCTGCTAATTTGTGCAGCTAAATAAATATAGCGCTTTCCAAGAGGTCTTTCTTAATTAAAGCCAGGTAATCACATTGTAAGGTCAAAGGAGCCACAAACAGAAGAGCAAGCAAAGACTTATCATTTACAGTGACAGCTCACTTTGTATACAAGGATTGTGGACACACCAACACATCAAAATAGCCTCACAAATTTTGGTCTGTTGTTTGAAAGATACTTGTACAGTATGCTAATATTTGACTGTAACAGATCTAACAAATCATTCAGCTTCATGGAAAAAAATTGTAATTTCTACCTCCGGTTCTTTGTTTTTGCTTCCATTACTACTGTGAACTTTAAACAAATTCCATAGGCCATGCTAATGCAGACAAGTGCACAGTAAAAAGAGAAATACAAAGCTTCTTTATTTTGGACGTAGTGACCCTCCAAAATTGTAAATTGCAGTGTCATACAACTGCATTATAATGAATACAAACTATTAAACCGGCCTTCCTGATATGTCACTGGAGCTGCAAATATTTTCAAAACTCAATATTAGTTTCCAGACTGATTTATCTTAAATAGAGCTTTTGTTTAACATTTGCCTTATCCTTATTACAAAGGCCAAAACAGCATATTTGTTCAGCCATCATATTGTGACAGAACATATTTATAATGCAATCTTATGCAACTGTGCTTTCAGTTCTTTGTGGACACACTCACTGGCTCTGGCCGGTTTTTAAGAAGTGAATTATTTCATGAAACAAAGCCAAGCCATTGCAAAAAGAGCACTGAAGTAGCTACAGACCTTGCATTTGGCTTTCTAACATCTGGCAGTGCAGCCAGACATAGTGTTAAGCCATTGGAGACACAACCCTCAGAGGAGTTTATAGATCTAAATGAATCTGACAACAAGCTGTGAAATGCTAAGAGTCAACAAATTGTTTCAACTCCACGTAATGAGAGGCACAGCCAAAATAAAGTGCTTTGGACAACAGCAAATGACACCAAGTCAAAAGTTAATTGCAAGCAAGAAAAAAAACAGAAAAAAGCCAGTTTTGAATGTAAATGAAGAGTAATTTAGCTGTTTTTGAAAGATAAGAGGAAAACTGTTTCAGATTGTGGGCTCAGGCCTGGACCTGTGCTGTTCTGTTCATACTTTTAATTCCCAAGTTCTTTATAAGTTTTAACATGCTATATTCAATCCTACATCTGTAACCACAGGAGTTTCACTGATTTGGATTTATGGAGCGCCAGTGTCATAATTATGAGTTCATTTGGTTCTGTTCGGTCTACTATTAAAAGATGTCAACTTCCAGATGTTTTTCTTTTTCTTTTTTTTAATTCCAGGCAGAAAAACAGTAATAATAATCTTCTCAATTAAGCCTAAGGGCCTATAACCCACATGTATATATTTGGGTTTTAGGTATTCCCCTGGTCTCCTATTACAGTTATCATTACCTTAGCTATGGCGTGGACGGGATAAAAACAATGCAAATGACCAGTTTGGTTTTTTTTTTTAAAGTTCATTGTTCAGTGTTAGACAAATATTTTTTTATTAGCATAACAAGACTGATGGTAGTCTTAGATAGCGTGATAAAAAGAATCACAAAATATCTTTAAATTGAAATATAACAATTTATTTAGGTTTTTTTTTTAAGTAATTTCTTGATCGACCAACTATTAAGCTGTATAAACAAAGAAATTTCTATTAATATATTGTTGATCTTCAAATTAGTCATAGTATCTGTGCTACTTTGTCCTCCAGTGTGGGTCACCCAGTTGAAGTCTGTAAAAATAAAAGGAGTGGCATTGCAGGCATTCACTGCCATCGCAGTGATATCAAATGGTTTAACAACATTTCAGAGCTAAAATGGTCTCAGGGGACAGTGTGGTCCACATGGATGCTTCACATTCATGGGAAGCAGAAGAAAGAAATTCCATAATCCGTACTCACAAACTGTAATGACTCAAGAACAATTTATTGCTATGCCACTTTTAAACCAAACATGTTTATTTTAGCCTTGCTTGACAAGTACTCCAGTCTAAGTCGTTGCACTCCGATCACATATACATCTGTGACTTGCCTATAGTAATATGAGAAACATGCTGATACGCATGCATGCTGAAACCGTTGCACTGTAGAGCGCTTTGGAAATGAAAATTATTTTTTAAATGAAATGTCCCAACAGTTTCAGTGTTGTTCTTGGAAAAGAAGATCACCCTTATGACCCCATCAGGAGTAATTAAGGGTTTTATGTGGACATGAAATTGGACTCGACTGTAGCTGCTATAGTTTATTACTTGCCAAGTGATATCTTACAGATTTGTTACTGGTAAAAGGAGTAACATTTAGATATAAATCAAAATGTATGCATGTAAAGGCCAAGGAACAGACTCTTTAAAACACTTAGCCTTATTTCAAGTATCTACTTCACCACCAAATCTATAGTAACAAGCAAAAAACCAAACATTTCAGATTTTAGTGCCATTTTCAAGAAAACTTGAGTTGGGCAGCAGCTGTTACTGCAGCAGGAAGAGCCTGTGAATATTTTATAGCTGATGTGACACTTTTTTCCACACAAAATACAATTTATCTTTTGGAACGAGTAAATCCACCATTAACCTGAATCAGCATTCACGATGCAAACAGTGCAAACAATGTCATCTTACATCCCAATCATACACTGCAGGCCATGGATAAATTGTTGAGGAGGTGCAGGAGGAGTATAAGCAGCAGTAAAGATTTAGGGTGAGGACATTCACATTCAATATGTGTGACAAAACCAGGTTTGCAATAAGACAAGTTTACTCTTGTAAAGCAAATAACATTAAACTAGTCTGATTTAAGTGTTATCTTTAGACCTCAGCATGCATTGCCATGTCAATTTCAGCATCGCCAGCAACCAATAATTAGCAAACAGCAAAAAAGCTGCGCTACTCTTAAGCAAATAACCATAGCAATACACATGAAAACAGTCAGTGGTTACTTATTTTGCCAATCAAAGAGACATAACCCGAAGGGTAAAGAAGGAACGGGATTACATGCTATTCGTCCAAGTGAAATTTTGAAAGATACGTATGTTAGGAAACACAGTAGTGCACTTACATTGGCTGAAGAAGTCCTCAGGAAACATCCCTTCCAGTTTTAACTGAATTCTGATATGGAACGCCAGGACTAAGGCCAGTCGATGAAACTGATAAATATCAGTTACTGCGGCAACATAGGATCAGATAGATTGAGCTAACAGTCAAATCATGTAATAAAAATCTAGATCACAGTTGTTTTCAGCAGAGCAAACCAGTGTGAAGTGTGACAGATGAGGTATATACTGTAATCAGTTATAGTCTATCACACGTGAGTGACAGGTTATGTCAAATGCAATGGACACGTTAGAATATTGGACCAATAGAACTGTTAGCGCTGTGCCATGTTGCTTATATAAACGCACTGGGTGGTCATGATGAAATATGCAAAACACCTCATAATGTCAGAATTTATAAGTTACAAAACCACATTTCACTTGGTGCTTTTTTGGAAAGGGTCGATGTGAACACAGTGAAACAGACCCATGGACAGACAAAACACATAAACTGTTGTGAGCAGTATGTTCTTTCACTCCCAGAAGCAGATTTTCAAGAGTCTTCAGTCCAACACATACTGTATGCAGCCTTCAGGGACATGCTTGGACTTGGCACAGATCCTACTCCACAAGAGTTTGTTCATTTATCATGCCGGTGACCTTACTAGATTGATAGTGGGGTATTAAAAACTCTTATTTAGTGGGTCAACTGTTTAAGGTATGCACTAAGGTCATGCATCACCACCATAAATGTATTCATTAAACAGTTTTCCACATGGATTTACCCCCCTCATTCAAGTTTTTAATTTTGTACTAACCGTACCGACTGTGGTCATAAATGTAAATGTTTCAACACAAATGCATTTTCCTTTTTTCTTTCTTACATATTTTTCCTGTCATCTTGACCTTGAATGGCTCTGCCACGAAGGTCCGTGAGCAATTCAAGTTTCGACATGCAGCATGAAACCACACTCTGGCACTCTGAGCAAACACTTGAGGTCCAGTCAACAGTCCTCAACAGACTTATTCATTACTGCTGCAAACCACTTAAGAGCGAGTGTATGGAGTATGATTATGGCATCAAAGGTTCAGCAGGAACATGCCACATTAAAGCATCTGCTGATGGTGGCAGAGTAGTATAATCATAATGCTGCGCAAAATGGCTCTTGGCTAAATATAGCAGTAGCTGGATGCCAGAGTAAGTGTCTTTCAATAAGACACTAGAGATTTAAAAAGATGGAGGAAAATGACATCAGCTGTGCAAAGGACCGCATTTATGTCTCATTTGATCAGCTAAGCCATTGGCCGTGCCTCTGTAAGCCGTTTTCAACAAATCATCAAAAAATAAAGCTTGCTTATAGGAAACACCGACTTTGCCTTGAACAGGGTAAATCTGGGGCCTTTTGCAACAAACTCAAATCAGAAATATGACAAAAGCACAGAAAGGTCAATGAAAGACTAATTTATTTTGTTTTGCTTTCAAACTCATCCACGCGTAGTTACAGTTGTTCACAGATCCTCCTGTCTTCAGCATACTGTTAAATTTCAGCTGCACACTAAAGATCCTTTGTGTGTCACACATTTAAATAGACAAATACTTAAGATCAAGGTAAAACACAGAATGCAGTCTAAGTAGTCAGAGTTTGGAGTAGGTCTGAATGATGTGTTTGTGTGTTCCCTTGCATAATAACCAGCATGCCCTTTTTTTGCTTTTGTTTTTCATTGTTATACTGATTCCATATAACATTTCTATAAAAATGACCCTTTAAGCATTTTTTTCCCAAACTGAGTCTATCATACTGCAGGTGTAATAAATACCAAACAGGCTTTTAATCACTACACAGTAGTTTAGCTATGTAATGATCTAAAAGGCACTTTTTAAAATTATTATAACATTTTCTTTCACGTAAGGTGGAAAGCTGTCACCGTGATGTCAGGATATCTGAGAAAAAACTGATACCTGAGATTTAAGAAAATTATTTAAGCAAATTTGTGGTTTTTAAAACTTTCTATATTACCTGTATACGTTTTCTATGAATTAAAAACAGGTACATTTGTTTCCTGTTGTTATGTTTCAATAAGATCTTTCAATGTATAGCTCTAATAGAGCATATTTAATTTAATACAAAATAACAACCTTTCACAGAAGAAAACATTAGCTTAATTATACCAATTCAGACAGTCATCAAAATTTTAGTAAAATAAGGAAAAGGAAATTCTGCCCACTCTAAATGCATATCAGCAGGCAGTTGAAGTGACCAACTTGACATGTTTGCCTAATGATAGATCGTGAGGGTTATTGCCCCAAGTTGACCTTACACAGCATATTTAGAATTATTTTAATTTTTGTTATTGAAGATGTTAAATTGCCTATGCTGTGTGATTTTAAGTATGATTGCTGACCGCTGATGATCCTATTTACATTTTGATGATGCAGTGGTTACCCCAGAGATGTAGTGCTGAGATATTCAGCCTTAGCGACAATAGTTGAACTGCACAGGCATTGTATACACTGCAGTCCCTCTGAGGTTATAAATCCTGCCTCTGTTTTAGGAGGCCTCAGACGTTTAAATCTGCCCTGCTAGATGTATGTGAGGGTCAATATAGCCCACTGAAATGGCATCTTTTTGATTACACAAAGAAAAAGAATATGTTTTGTTTGCAAATGGGCAGGAGACCCTTTATGTACACATTTTTTCTTCCATACACAGGCAAAACCAAATTTTAATCTTTCTTTTTTTTAATCTGAATTTACTCAGGAGCTCCTCTCACCGAGGCATTCTGGATTATTGAAAAATGCTGGATTTCCCCATGCTAACAAAAGTGAATGACCCTATGAAACTGTTGCAAATGGTATTCACCAAATGTGTTCTTGGAAAAACTGACTATTGGAAGAGTGTGGGAGAGCATCTTAGAAGTAGTATTACTGTGTTGATACAACTTCAGCCAACATACGGTAATCAGTAACAATGCAGCAAGTGGGCACTAATGCTGAAGACAGGAGAGAAAACACTTTTTGTTCAAGGGTTTGGAGTGATATTGGTGTGTGTGTATGCATTGTGTCTGTGTTAGACGGGGTCAGATCCGAGTCAGCTGGTGCCAAAAACTGGACGGCATGAAGCTTTCCATCTTGTCTGCGAAGAAACCCAGGGGTGCAAAGAGTGTGCTGAAGAACTGAAAGTAAGAAAAGGCAGAATTGACTTCCGGTCAACGGTTTGTGAAATTTCTTCCATTTCAAATTAATATTACTACTTCATAACATATCTTTTTGAATTCCATTTAACATTGGACTTCAAAACTTTAAAAAAAAATGTATTATGTGTTTTTTTATATATACTTTGAGTTACATTCATTTAGAAAAGATTACAAAGTACTGCTGTTACACACAGTGAGAAAAGTACACAGATTTAAATAAAGTAAATAGAAACTACTGTCCTCTAGCTCACCCCTTTTAAAATGGCAACCTAACATAAAAAGAAAAGAAAAGAAAATTATATAAGAATTCTCCACAAGCCTGACTTTTATATGCTGGGATGTACAGTTGACTGCTTAGCTTTTTTTTCTCCCTATAAATCAAGCTGAAGTCATTCAGCGCTGCAAATGCAAAGCACAGCTTACAGTTTGGTGCAGTCAGAGTCAAAGGCGGAACATATTTGTACATTTCCTCAAGAAAGCAGCATCATCCAAGATTGATCATTTTACAAACTGCATTCGTGGAAAGATCACAGATGCATCACTACATTTAAGCAGTTTCTCTATAAACTTTATATTATCCATGATTTATGAGAGACACTTTCGGACAGCAGTATCAACAACAGTCACTCTTACAGCTTCACCATCTTCAAGTGAAAAAATGAAAAAAGTAAATAAACTACAGTATTTATTGCCGCTGGGAAAAGCTGCAGACTTACCCATAAAAAGTAAATAAAAGATTCTTAATAACCTTTGATAGTATGATTTGAGCAATAACAACAAAAGGCAAACGATAATAAAAAGCTACAATCAGAATTTATTATAATATAGAGATAAGACTGCAGAAATAATAACCTCTTTTAAGTATATTTTTTGGTGGCAGCTTTGAACCTTTATTGTTATAGGACAGTAGTGAGAAGACAGAAAGCTGAGGAGAGAGAACAGAGGGAAGGTATGCATTAAATGGCTCAGGGTGGATTCGAACCAGGGCTACTAAATGTACACTGACCACGTCCATCTCTTTATGACCACAGGTTATCCATCTTCCGATGGCTGCTTCCAGCAGCTTAATGCGCTATTTCACAAACCTCAAATCATGTCAAACTTTAATATCACAATGAGGTCTCAGTACTAAAATAGCCTCCACAGTCACCGGATCTCAGTCCAGTAGAGCACCTTTGGGATGTAGCTGAGAATCAGATCACGAATGTGCAGCCAACAAATCTGCAAAAACTGTGAGATCTTATCATCTCATCACGGACCACAATCTCTGAGGAATGTTTCAGGCACCTTGTTGAATCTATGCCACAAAGAATTACGTTATGATGCAATTTAAATGCTAGCTAATAATAATAGTTAGATGTCCTCTGAAATATTACAATATGAGGTCGTGCTAAAAGTGTGTTTGATACACTTAAAATCCAATTAGTAAAAGTGGGCGATCCACAGGTAAGAAAAACACGCGGACTGTCACGACCACCAAAATCCGCCGCGTTTTCCTGCTTTTAAGAGCAGCAGATTCATAGAAATCTGTTTTTCCTCAGAAGGCAGTGAGTACCTCTGTGTTCCTCCCTCATTGGTTTTCATGCACTCTATCTGAACATCTGAACATTACACAAACCAGACTAGCCGGACTGGCTGTAAAAGTCCAATCTGCACCCAATCTTTCCCATAACAAAAGGAACAGAACTAGATGTTCTCAGAGACTCGCTTCAAGACTAAAAGGCCCTAATAAACAGGCTGACCATAAACAAAAGATTAGCCAAAGTAAGAAGTTTGCCAAACTGGCTAAAACACATAACACAACACTTCTATAATACACAAACACAAAATGAAGCAGTGCAAGCATCCATACGTTCTAACCTTTAAGGCTGCATGTTTGCTGTGGCTTTAAACTTGTATTTTTCAGCTCTTCCCACTGATAGCTAAAGTTAGACTATAACTTGTTATCATAAACACTGACTTTACAAGCCTTCGACTCCCATGAGCCTCCAGTGTTGCTGACAGTGATAGAAGGCAGCAATTACCAAAGGAACTTAGAGGTTCGGGTTACCAATAACACCCATTAAAAAATGAGACCCAATGGTCAAAGCTAAAACTGGTCAGCCAATAACCCTGAAATCTGAGTCAAACTCATGATAACATTAAAAATTTCAGTGATAAGAAATCTATAAATTCAAACCAAACGTGTTTGAGATGAAACTGGGAAGTCAAGCAATACCACTTACTGCTTTGGCAAAGACACCCATTAGTTCAGGAAACTGATGTGTGAGCATGGCCAGCATGGCAGTGAAAGAGCAAAGGCCTGCTGTGAAGAGGATGAAGAAGGGAAGCTCTTTCTTTGGGTACACAGACACCTCGTGGAAAGCTGGAGAAAATCGAGACAAAAAGAGAAACAGTATCACAAGCAGGGCAGATGAACTTTTGTTTTAAAGAGACGAGGTTTTGAGTAGATTTAATGTACTTACAGGGCAGTAGTTCCCTATCTGCTGTTTCTGTGCATCCTGGGTACGGGTAAAAGAGGTGACCCTTCTCCAGTGGGTAGGGAATTATTCGGAAAGCTGCAGAATACAGTCGAAGGGGAAAAGCGGGACATTAAATCTGGATGAGTAACACACCACAAACTATGCTTAAGTGCAGCTATTTAAAACACAAATACGGAGCAATTTTCGGTAAACCATTTAAGTTGGATACAAGATACTGACATCCAGATAAAATATAACAATAATATTCTTCTTGTGATGATCTCATCCACTTATAGCAATGCGTATTTGTGGGTGTACTGTGAATACATGACTTATGACACAATGATAAAAAAAAAAAAAAAAAGACAGGGCAGCTGACTAGTAAAGCTTTACACCTGCAAGGCTGTAGGTTCAAAACCAAAAAGAGAAGTAGCTTTTCTAGTATAGTGTTTTCAAAGTACAGGCTAGGTTGGGTGACAGCTTACTAACATGAAAGAAAGCAAATGAGAACCTAAAACATTTATATCTGAAAAAAATAACCATAAAAAGAAAGGTACATACTGCCCTCCCAGGTGCAGTGTAGTAGGTTTAAGGCTCCTTCTGCCCTCTTCCAGTGCTGCAGATGGAAGAAAGCGTATGCTACTGCCTCACTGTCACCCCTCTTCAAGATGTGCTCTGGAGGCAGGATCAAGCTCTTCATCTCTAATAAGTACTACAAATAGGAAGTGGAAAAAATACAGGACTTCTGTTCAGTATCTGGTCTTTTTGGTACCTTTATATCTTCATTTCTCATCCTTCACTCAGCTGTACTGTTTAGTTTAAATTTATTGTCATACTGTGATCAGTTGCACAAACAACATGAACTCAAACGAGCACATTGCACATTATGTTTAGTCAGTGATTCAGATTTCCACCTTTTTTTTACATTAGGATTTACTCAGCCATAACGAATGAAAACGCGTTTTTCAAATAGCTTTAAATGCCAAAAAATTGCATAGATTTCTGATCCACAATGTAAGACTGACACTTTTTTTCTTCTATGGGAACTAACTGTACATAGTCACGCTCATAAAAGACCATTCTGAGCAAAAAAAGATCCTGAATTTGTTCAGTTACCGACTTCTTTTAGTATATTTTTGAATAAGAGCAAGAATAATAAAGCAGTTAAAACAATTTCTATTCTGATAGATGGTAAGATAATGACCTGAAATTGAATGACAATTTGACAAATCAGCAGACAACTGTTTACTGAATCACAGTCTGGGTGTTGTCTGAGGAAGGCACTGTGGACATTGGACAACATTTTGGGACTTTCGATGCAGCCGGCACACATGTCTATGACAGCAGACACAGCAGATTTATGACGCACCTTAGATGTAAGCTGATGGTTCTGAGATTGCATTTGGACAAATGGACTATTAACAACATGCAACCAAAGTCTGCTCAAAAGTACAACTACTGGAAACAGAAACCAGGAAAATTAAAGTAAATAAAATCTTATCCAGTGCCCACAAACACTGATGACTGTTTGGGTTTTAAAAAAAAAGATTCCTTGTGGTCCCAAATAACTTCATGCAGCTTCAATGTTGTCATTCATATTTTCTCGTCATTTCTCAATGAGTACTTTTTGCTCTATTGTGCAAATCCCCCAGGCTAACTCCCTGTGGAATGTAATCATATTCTGTACATGTGAGGTATTTATCTAGAACCTTATTTTGCAATTGTTCAAGGTGGAAGGGAAAAGTTTTCCAAAGGTCTCACTCTCTCTATATACGCGAGTCAGTGTATGTGTGTTATTGTTACAGTACAGTAACATCATTCCATGAATGTGTAACATGCCCAACTTGCTTCTATTCTCTTGGCCTACTGCATAAGTTTGTCCCAGTGAGTCAGTTGGTTCACTGAGCTGACAAATCCCAGAGTTACAACCTATAGAACTTCCTCTCTCTCACTCTGAAATAGAAGAAATCTAGCTTTTAGAGTACATACATCAATATATTGTGCAGAGCTTTTTCTGGGGGGGCAATAAATGTTTTTAAAGGTCTATATCCGTCAGCATAGAAGTCCTTAATGTATACCTATTGACGCCGATGAATGTGACAATCTATGCATTTCATGTCTGTGGTGCCCAGTGTGGCAGGGGTCTGTTTTAAACAAAATCCAAGTGCAGTGCTGGGGCCCCCTGGGCTGGATTCCCGAGCGGCCAGCTTTGCAGTGCTTTGGATCTCACACTGACACTTTGGGAAGGTTACCCCACAGCTAATCCTGTCTAATCCCTTCCATGGTCACAGGTTCAGTCATCCATCCATCCATCTAGCCAGTCAGACCATGCAGCTTCACCATCCCTGACCCTGTCCCCTACCCCCATCCCCATAATCACTTACTACCAAGGCTCATCATTGTCTTTCTCCAATTTGTCTTTACATATGTTCAAGGCCCTATAACTGCTACCTGTGTCACCCATTTTTCCTACTGCCTGTAGCTGCACATCATTTTCTCTCTTTCTCAGTTGACATGTAGATTCTTACATTTTTCATCACATGTTATTTTTAGACACTTATACATAGCTGTACAAAAAAACTTGCAAATTTACACCTATGTTACCTCTGTCCTTCTCATCTCTCATACCTCTCAGCTTCACGGATAAAGGCTCAATTAAGCAGGTTACCATCATAAAGCAACACTTAAGTAATCATCTGTATTTCACAGGATTTTAGTGGACTGTACTGTCTTGCAGTTTTTCTCCATCCATCCTGACATTTTCTCTAACAGCAATCGGCAGCCAAGAGACAACCAGAAGGTGCTTGTTTGCCCTTCTCACTTATCCTGTCTGACTTACTTACATCAGCTCTACTCGGTTCAGCCAAGGCACTTGACTGTCTTCATCTTCTTCCTTCCTTTATTCTCAGCACAAACATTTCACCATGCTCTATTCCCTCTCAGAGGAGAGGCAGCTAGCCAGCTCGACCACCACAGACAAAACCTATCACTGGTTTATTGTGGTGGATTATAAAACCTCCCTAACTGCTATAATAATTCACATTAATTTTATGCAACACAACAAAGGATAGCATAAAATAGAAGAAAGAACTTAGTGAGTATGGAAGCAAGCTTTAATTCAGACCATTTATCAGCAAGAAAGCCAAGTCGTTCATTCAGTAAAACAGGTTGTTTTTTCGATTATTATTATTTCCTGTATTTCAATATATTTGAACTTAAAACATCAGCTGATTTTATAAAAAATCAGACACTAAGAACCCTATAAAATATACAGGGATATTATACTTAAAATGTATTAATTGAGGACAGGCATTCAATTTTCTTTAGGTGTAGGTGGCATCAATAATCCTAAAGGTGAACTTTTAAGGAAAAGCAGCTCATGCAGCAATACAATGACATAAGCATAGATGTTCTTCTACAAAAGAACAGTAAAGAAGAACAAAGGTGGGGTTTTAGAAGAGTTAAGTCAAAATCCTGACTAATAATCGTGATGGAAGGATCTAAAGCAAGCAGTTCATGTAAGAAACACCACCAACATCCCACAGTACCTCGTAATGTTGCTATAGTAAAGATTCACAAACTTTTAACGATCCTGTTCCTTGTAAATATTTCTGTCTAATTTTTTAACTGGGTTAACCGCAAGTATTTTTAGGTATTCCGAGAAAATGTGATGATATTTTGGTCGATATTCATTCAGAAATTAGGACAATTCTAAAGGATTCACAAACTTTCAAGCACCACTGTATCTATACATATTTTTTAGTAAAACCTGAATATTTTTGCATGCATTTTTATCTCTGTTGTTAATAATGAGTGGACAGTACATGGCACACATATGTCTGGGTGTTTCTATGTTTTAAGACTAACCATTTAGAGTGGCTGGCTGCTCAGCTGTCCTTCCTTGCATGCCATGGCATTAGAACTGGTGACACCTCAGTCACACCCCCACCTCCCTGTTCTGCAGCCTTCCTCTGCACTCCCTGTCGCCTCTTTGATGAAGGGATTGAATTTCATGTGTTCTCCTTTCATCCCTGGGCAGTCATAAGCTCAGAGCATAACTCATAAGCTTCCTTTTGATTCTAATCTGCGGCACTTTGCCGCACACAATGAAGCACAGAGGCAACATTGCCATCAACCCTGTAGTTGTTTATAATTTTTGTTTTTTAAAAAATGTAAAATATATAATTTTAACAAACATTGACACTAGCTACTTCATCTTGTGCCACAGGTAAGGGAACTTATATTTGTCCCCAAGTGGGCGAAACTTAAGCCACAGTCCAATTCCTGTAACTACCCCATTTTTGTCATCTGGATGAAACCTCGTCCATCTTAATTCAGAACAAACTCAAATGCTCCTATTCCGTCTCAATTTACAAACCAAACAGCCAATTTCAGTGATACACTAAGAAAAAAACTCTGGTTTTCTGAGCCTTGACAGGCAATCTAGAGGAGAGAATGTCATTGAGAATTGGGTGAGATAAAAAACTGCCATTTAAAGTGGGGTAAACTAGCAAAGTAAATAGGCCTGGGTCGCTTTGAGCGCTTCAGATTGAATGCATGTTAGCAAAAATGGTAGTAAAAATAAATGTAAAGCAGATTTAGCAAGCAGGGACATTTGATCAGTTATCCAAGCATCTGGGAAACTGTCAGTTTCTTAACCACTGGCTGCTAGAGAGGATAACTGGAATGGACAGGCAGATGTAGAAATGAGTGGAGGATAAATAGAAGAGGACAAGAAGATGAGGAGGAGAAGAAAATAGAAGGGAGCAAAAGAGAAGAGGAGGAAATTAGATGGATGAAGAGCTGGTGAGGAGAAGGGGCTGAGCGAGAGCACTGAACCAGCTGTGCAAATGAAGTGTGTGTGTGTGTCTGTATATGTAGATTTTTGTGTGTGCATAGCCTTTTAAGCAGTCTGAATGAACTCATGTGATGTAGCCTGGTATTATATTCATATATAATCTGCTTGGCATGCTTGATAACACACTCGCCACTTAATGCTTGGCCCAACAATGCTCCTTCAGTATTCCAAATCTGTGTGTGTACACCACAGGCTACTGCACTGTTTTTATTGTTTGACTGTACGGATGGTAACAACAGTCTGACTAAAGTCAGTTTGGACAGAAATGAAAGCATGATCATAACGTTTGGCACATCTTCTCATTATACAGAGAATAAATTCTGCGGACTTTGACTTCTTCGAGGAGTGCCAGTAGTTCAATGTTTATTATATTTGTTTTTGAGAAGTAGCTTGAAAATCCAAAGGACTGCAATGGTGGTGATCTCATCTATCAACCTAGGATGATGATCTTTTGGCTGCAGTGAGAAATACTAAAGTATGCTATATCAAGACCTACACAAATATATTTTAAGTCCTCAAAGCACAAGTTGTTATACTATACTTACTTAATTCTTCACCTACTGCCATTAATTGTTTTCCAGTGCTCTGGAAAAAAGAATTTATGGCTAGCACCCTTAATCAATTGTAGCCTCACAAAGTCACAAGCATGACTGTAAACTATGAATTAGTTTGGTTTGTTGCTACTACTTGAGGTTTAACACATCACTCAGCTGCTGGAGGCTTATGATGTATCCTGTGCTCACCTCAGGTGTTGCTGTTAGATTTTTTTTTCTTATGTAGGAAGAAATTGGTTACTTATTCTTTTGCTCAATGATTTCTCTAAACTTTGGATCACAACAGCCAAAGCCCCTCTACTCTGCTTGCACCGGTTGAATGCAATACTATCTGTTCTGGAGTCTTTACAGTAACAAAAACATACTCCCCTTCTCTTATCAAGCCAACTATAATGCATCTTCTGTGGTCTCATGCTTTAGTTTATTGCTTCTTTTTTTAGTGCGTTTAATGTTGTCTGAAGTTTATCTGAAATGTGTAGATGCTTTGGTAGGACTAAAACATTAGATGTAATGTGGAAAGATCATTAAAAAAACATTAAATCTGTACTGAAACCAATTACTATAAAAAAAGAGAAATGACTCTGATAACCATAAAACCACTTTCAGTTCAAATGGGCAGATGTTGATTGTTTTGAGACTTTGTCTTTGAAACAGTTCAGAAATTTTCATCAGCTGATGGAAACACGATGGTGTGATCTGGCCTGTATAGTTCTTGTATTAGAAACTTTGCCAAAGCAACAGTAGTCCTACAGCTGAGGAAACTAAACTCAGATGTTCTTTTTTTTTTTAAGCCTCATGCACCAAATCTGCTTTTGGTGACAACAAGCCCGCCCATTTAAAGAGGCCAAAGGAGTCGCAGGTGCACTCATCTCTTAGACATGCCAGACAACACAAAGCAACACCCCCTCCTTCCCTACTGTTGCATTTCCATACCCAGTGCTCTGCTATGAGAGCACTGAGTATGCACCAGATTCCACAGTCAAATGCTGAAAGACGAGCTGTCCAATAATCCTCCATGAAAGGTGTGTTAAAATTTCATAATGTCATTTAGCCATTCACCTAAATTCAAAGAAGTCATTTTGACAAAGTTGGCAGTGTGACATTCAGACTGTCTGTTTGGCTCAAACAAGGGATGAGGGGATAAGGGAACATGAGAGGATAAGAAACAGGATGAGGGTATGTGATGAGAGGAAAGAGGACGGCTGCCTCTGGGCAGAATGGGAAGGGAGCAGTTGGAGAGATATTGAAGATGAGGGCCCTCACTTTAAAATCAAAGGCTGGATCAAAGTGCTGGCTGATGTTTCCCCCTCCATGCATGCAAACACACAGATTCTCTTTCTCTCTCTCAGAATAGGAGTCTGTGAAATGAAATAACACCACACTACAAAGGCTGAACTGGGACAAAACTCTGCTGCATCTGGTTGTGTATCAATCTGTGCGCATATGGACGTGTGACATCTAAACCTGTGGGAACTGATATGAAAAGAGATATGCAGCTAGAGTCCCATATTCTCCTGGTCCAGCTGTAGACAGAGCTGTGATAATATGACCAACTGATCACCAAGTTAAAAAATATTCAGTGCACTAAAACACTGGTAAAAACAATATAGACTTGATACCAAAAATAGTGTTCTGACTTAAGAAAATGAAATATGCTGATCAAATTTGTATACGTTGTATAATAACTACAACAATAATAAAGATATATAAATATTAATATAATAACAATCAAAGTGAATTGCATACTGTAGAAGAATTTTAAATGTGGATAAAATCCAAGATCTAGAGATGACACTACCAGTGAGAAAATAACCTTTACTGACATCTCCTGGTGAGCCAGCAGCACAGAACGAATGGAATGAAAGCTGCTGTAGTTGCACCACCTATTACAGTCAAAATAACTCACTTGTGATTGACTGACTGTTTACTTTACTGTCTGCTTTTCCTGTTTGCCCTGAATGGGACCTTTACGAATGGCAGCCATGTGAGTATTGCGTGATTAGACCAGATAGAGGCAGTAATATTTAAAGTAACGTCAAGCTAAATTTCTGCCTTTTGTTTGTATGCCTCCCCTTACAGGTAAAGTTGCAGTTTACGTCCATGTCTGTGCAGACTCATGTAAGATATGAACTCAAGACTCTGAAATAATTTAATATCTGGGCAACAAACACTAGTATCACAAACTGAGTATCCATTCAATTGTGAAATCTGGTCAGAATTTCCTCTTTAGTTCATTAGCTGAAAAAGCTGTTTTTTCAGAATATTAAGGTGTCACAGTGAAGCTGTCCTTTGAGCTTTTGCCTCTAAAATGCCAGTTTTTCATCATTTTCATCTACATAAGGCAATGGTGAAATTTTGCAATAGAAAGTGACCAAAAAACATTTTTTGTGAGGTTAGAGTGACTTTTGACTTTCATCACCTCTTACTTAATACTCATACTTCCAATTCCAAACGATGTTGTGTCCAGTAAAACGTGATGGATAAACAGAACTATCCATCCAATAAAAAAAGAAGAAAAAAAAAACAATCCACCAAACCACTTGTGGCACACGGATGAAGGGCGTGAACTGACAGTGTTACAATGACACAAGACCGTTTGTTCAAAAACAAACGTTTTCTCAGTGTAAAGACGCTTATTATTATTTTAACAGTACATCTCAGTTTTTATATATGATAAGAAATGTTGCTGTAGTACAGAGAACTCCATCAGCACCAAAAATGTCTAAAATTACAATATTTAACATACCCCCCTCAACCCGATCCAAAGAAATTTCCATAGTAGATAGTGAAAGAGAGTTGAGAAAAAAAAAAACATACAAGAAATGTTTTGTTTTCGGTGTTATTGTTTATCTAATTAGGGTGGTGATCTTTACCAGTAGAAAAGCTGTAAAACCAATGAAAATACAGTGAAAAGTGGGCACCACTTTATCTCAGGAGGTGAGCAGGCGACCACATGCCGCACGGCAGCGGCCCAGGTTTGAGTCGTACCTTTGCTGAGTGTCTTCCCCCTCTCTTTCTACCCAAATTCCTGTCCTGTCTAAACTATCCAATAAAAGCCGGAAATGTAAAACAAATGCAAATAAACCCCAAAACAGTTAAAAATGCAAAATCTATGCCCTCCTTCAGATTTTCCAAAGCCGTCCAGTGGGTTGGAATGGAGTCTCTGGTGGGGCAATTCTGGCCCCGGGCTTTGTGTTTGACAGCCTGGTTTAAAGATCATCTGGTCACTAATGTATGTTTTCATTCAGGATGAAGACCTATGTTTGCTGTCAGATAAATGACTGACCTTTGGCACGTGGGGATTGAACTCAACGGCTCTGTGTATGGCCTCCACAGCATTCATCTCTGCTGTGCTTAGCCCCCGCCTGGATGCTGCCTCTGGTGAAAACCTAAGAAATCACATCTCACATTCGTGACAAAGTTAGGGCAATCACATACAACAACTGAAGCTAACAGAAAAAATAACTTACTTATCTGAGACAGCCCGTGCTTTCAGCAGCGCAGATGTATAGCATATAGTAGCGGATTTTGGCAAACTGATATCTAAAGTAGAAGCAGAAGTTGTGTTTATGTGACTGGGCATGCAACTCAAATGACTGACCTACTTTGTGCAAAATCATGGTATGTTGATATTCAAAAGTAATTAAATATTTGTTGAGTTTAGTCTTACCGTCATATTTTGCAAGGACTGCTTGCACATCAGCATATGCCTGAAGCTCTAGAAGAGCCTCAAGGAGGTTTTCGTGTATATTTAACATTCCCAACAATGGGAACTCCTTCATTAACTGTACAGAGATAAAACATATTAAGGTTCACAGTTTTAGGTACAGTAAACATGTCGACTTAGTAACATACTTTCTGTGACAAAACAATAAAGCAGTAAACATGTTTAAAGGTGATACTCACATCTCTCATCATTTTTACTGCTTCTTTAATTCGCCCCAACTTGCGTGCACACATTGCCAATCTGCGTTTAATATATACTAGTAGGTTGATATCTTTTCCTGCTGTATTGCAAAGAGAAAATATTTCACTGCAAAGCAAAATAACCATGAGTTTAAAAAACAAAACAAATTAAAACTGTATTGTATATGAATATCACGCTACATTTTGTGGTCCAATGTAGAGCACTCATGTTATCTTGGAGCTGTAATTCTTCCATCATGAGAGGGAGTGTAAAACAAATAATACACTTTGCTGTATTATATCTATCTGTGGCATATTGAGAGGTCCACACTGAAGTACTAAACTGCACAATGTGGGTAAGGGCATGCAGCACAAGCAGGATAAATATACAGTGTTGAGTTACTCTTCATCTACTGAGCTTTCTTTGTACTACTATGCCCTAGAGTACTTTATTGTAGTGCATTAAAAACCATCCTTACCAATACTTAGAGCTTTTTTAAAAAGGCGTTCGGCTTCTGTGATAGTTGTTGCTTCTTCCTCTGCTAGAAGCACATAGGCTGCAGCACATCTACACAAATATACACAAGAAATTAATGTATTTATAAATAGCAATCCAAGCTGTTTTTTATAGTGCACAAGAAAATATTTATATTTACTCACAAATAAAAAATAAGAGATGATGTCATAACAAAGACAAAACTTGAGAATGGTAGCACCCTTAAAGACGCTAATATACTGTATATAAACATTATCATTGAAATATATTAATGCATTTAAACAAAAGTCAGCACAATAAAGACTCTTCAAAGATTATTTAATTATTACAAGTACCATACAAAGCTGTCTGAATTTACTTGTACTCTAAACTCTAAGTTCTCTAAATCTAAGATTCTAAACAGCAGCACCAACCTCAACCTCTTTTTCTCATTAATGTGATGGCAATATAACTGTAATACAGTCTCACTTTAATGAAGCCTAACACTGAGCATCTTGAGGTGCAAGGCGTCTAGAAATATGTATGGAGAGGTTCACTGTGTATGAGTAGAACTCACTGGTGGTTGATCTCTATGGCCTGATAAGCTGCTCTGATCCTGGCTTGAGGATTTCTCTCTCTCCAGGCCTTCTGCATCACTGTAAGAAGATGATCATCTAGGCTTACTGCAATATAGATGTGAGTTTATGGTACTGGTATACAAACCCGTAGTGCTTCACATCATAAAAAAAGGAATTTCTGGCATGTATTGCATGTATGCATTGATTGCATAGATTTGAGCAATTTGCCTCATCTTTGTATAACTCACCAGCATCCTCTGGCCTTAACTGCTGAGTGTCTCCTGTGAAGAAGGTCTGATGATCTTGAGCAGATAGGTTCATATCATAATATGTTAAGGGTTCCTTCCCAGTCACCCAGGTGTACCTGTGGTACACAGAGTAAAAATAATAGCTTCCATTTTATGGTTCAGTGAATCAAGTGAAAAAAATAATACTTCTGCACTAAAGACAAAAAGTAGGTTTAAATCGTTACAAATCTTTAGAAAAATTCAGATATTATGAATTACTCATTTTAAAAGGTTATTTAACAGAAAAAAATAATGTTCATATACATAGCAGCAGGCACTGGTTCGTGAAAGCCGCCATGTTGCCTCCTTGTCTTGAATACAGTGGCTAACATGGACATTGCCATTGTTCCTGATAAGTTTCATATATTTAGCCAAAGATTGGCCAGTATCAAGATAGTGCAGTATATCTTATAACATTCTTTTGATCTAAAAATCACAAATAGCTCTTTCAAACTATAAATGTCCATTTAATATTTGTATATTTTTCTCCTCCTCCACCACTGCTCCATCAATTAAGCTGACTGCAATCTGCAATCTACTGACATCAAGTGGTGAGATTTTACACACTTAACCTTTATGAAATTTAAATGTGTTTGAACCACATAATTATCTGAATAAAATCTTAAACAAACACATACCTGTTATATTCAGCTCCTCTAAAAAGATTCAAAGGATTTCGCCAGACCTTGCATTCTACAAACAGAGGTTGTTGTTACTGTTTACATAAATATGAATAATAATGCTATGATCGGCTGCATCATGTATATTTTTTTTTACCAGAAACACTGGGCCTAGGCTCTGCATCTCCATTAACTGATGAGAACAGACCAGTTGTGGAGCTGCTTTCCACTCCACCAAGCAAAGGACGCAGGTGGCTCACCGATACTTGTTCAATAAACGAAGTCCCATATTTACGAAAATACCACCATTCAAATATCTGTAATAAAAACATAAACGGTTAATATGCTTTTATTAATATGTGCCATTATACAGCCTGAACATTTGTATTGGTATTTGTCGCTGATTTTGTGCTAAATGAATCTTTAAATTGAGAGTGATGAAGAGCTAAAACACTTAAAAAGCTAAAAACAATAATAATAATAATTAAAGGGTTTATGATGATTTTTTTTGGTTCCTTCTGAACATAAGAAGGAATGAAAAATTATATATATATATTTTTTAAAACATCTGAAAAGAATTATTGCTATCTGCATCATATAGCATAATGCACTCTAAACCAAAACCTACGTTACAACTGAATGTATTAAAATGTGTTACGGTTAAAACGTAATTTATGGTGATAAAGAAATTAACTCACAAGGATGAGTCCAGAGATAAGAGAGGAGGTTCCAGTGAGAGCCACGTAAAATTTGGGTGTCAGTGTGTTTAAAAACACTGAAGCTGAAAGAAGAAAATAAAGGAGACACTTACGCCCAACAGTAGTTTTAATAAAAACCTTGAAAATATTCAACTTCGATGGTCTTTACCAGGTGACATTTAGCTCACAGTAGCAAACTTGGTAACACAAATCATCAACTACTTAATTTCGACTGCATTCAGTGTGATCTACGGTAGGAGAAAATGCAAAATGTGTCTGCCAATTAATATCTAAATAGAAGCTTTACTTTTAACCAGACAGTCGCCACTGTTCGTGTCTCGATAACTCAGACAGCGAGCTGTCAAACCACAGCTTTCGCTAAAGCTATACACCCGTAGGCTAACAATAGCTAGCTAGCATCTGCCTTAATTCACCTGAGGTAAGAGTTTCCTGAAGTTTCAGCGGACTCCACAGGACGTATATCATTATCAGCACCATCCCGAACCAAAGGAAGCACACATAAGTCCATGACCAAGAGAGCCAAGACTTCAGTTTCTCTGTGAATCCGGGAGACTGGGGATTACTGCCAGTGCTGTCCTCCATGTTTCTCCGGATGTCTGTAAACAGAGGAGTCACGTGACTACGGAGCACCAAGACTTCTACTTCGAAATCGTTGCAAGAAAAATGTTTCCCGAGGCTACAGAAAAACGTGTATGTATTTTTTTCCACACATATACACGCTATTTACTCCTCATCTAAACCAAAGAAACTATTATCACTATTAGAACGTATACTTTGCATACAAACGTCTTGCGACTGAATTTATTAATACTTACTATAAACAGCTTTATATTTTAAATACCAAAATACTGAAACTATTAATAAGCACTTCAAGAGCGCAAAACTCACCTCAGCTCACTCTGGCCAGTATTTAACTGTTAGAGAAAAGTGTTGTATTTTGTATATATTCATTAAAAAAAAATTTTTTTGTTCTTTTTAAACGTACTCGAAGAAGTCTATAGTGCAGTAAAAATCAGATAAGGGTAGCATGACATATGTGTACTTTGATTACACAAACATTATGTAGGAGCAGGTGGTATTGATTTGTAAATAACTGGATACAAATATTTTCAGCTTTTGAAAAAAAATGTTTTTTATCTTGTCTTGTCTGGCAGCGTTAGCAAACAGAATTATGATCTGAATGCACTCGCAATTCTCATAATCGTAATTCTGATTGCAAAAGCTACTACAGTATATTTTTAACTAACTATGCACAGAAAGCAATGTGATTAGTAATGCAATATTTAGAATCTCCAAATACCATTACCTATGTGGTCAATACAGTCAATAGCAGTAAGAAACATAGTTTTATCACTTTCAGATCAATCAATTAATCTTGAAGGGAAGGTCAGAGGTCAAATGTTAATACAGCTTATGAGTTCTGTATGTGGGCAATGCACACCACACTTCCAAAAAAATCATAGTTATAAGGCTTTATAGTTACAGAGAGAATGACACACACACAAACTAAGCCAGCTTCCTTACCGGAGGTAAAACTATGGTTAAACAAAAAGGATACATTACATAACTACTAGAGCTTTAGCTAACAAACATTTACATAAGTATTTGTTTATTTTACTCAGATTGTAAAAGCAATGGGCTATGAGCAATGGGTAATGATGATTTCTTTTGCTAACTAATAATGAGGCCATTAAATATTATTTTATGGAAATATGCTTAGCAGTTATTTTGTTAATAAAACTCCTGTAGACCTTAATAAACCACTTTCTTGGTAGATACGGTGCTTAAGCTGTTATGAATATTTGCTGACGATAATTATCTTGGCCATTAAATGTAGCAAAACTGCAGGCAATCATTTCCCAGTTAATTTCCCTGCCCATACTGTCTGTTCCTATTCGTGGTCAGCAAGTGGGGCTATTACACCACCAACCCATTGACTTTTGTTTCCATCATTGTACTGCAGGTGGAGACAATGTTCCGTTTTGCTGGGCTCCTTTCAGTCTCTGGTTTCACTACAATGTTTTAGAAATTCATGTCGTCCTGCATGAAGGTGTTCTCTTTCAACTCTTTCACCTAATACATTCTGTAAATTAGTTTCCAACCATTTTTGCGCTCCTTATTTCTGGTGAAGAGTTGGATTCAAATGCTGACAGTCACTGTCAGTTAGTATCCTATTCATTTACATAACCAAAATGCATACGGACAAAAATGCATAACTCAAAGAGATTATTGACACAAGAAAGAAATATATTTTTGGATACATACTTTCAGCACCACTTCCCACCTTGTGTGATTGATTCACATCTCCTAACCGGGCGGGAATAAATGCGATTTGTTGGAGTTCATTCTAGTTGGAGGTTACAGGTACTGAATGGCAGAGAACCAGATTTGGTCCTACTCACACATGCCCTTGGGTGTTTTTCTGCCTGATGCTGATGGACAAGAACACGCAGGGTTAAAGGCCTGTCATATAAATCAGGTACAATCACTTTAGAGGTGAAAACATGCATGATGCTGCTGACAGGGAGAAATAGAGGGGGAAATGAAAAAGAGACTAAGAGGAAGGAAAGAGGAGCAAGACAGGCTTGCAGAAGTTATCTGGAGTGTATAGTATGACCTACATGTCTGAATGTATTTTCAGATGAAATGATATTTCCAAATGACCTCGTCTCAGTGAGTCATTCGCTGATTAGACATGCATGTAGCCTCCAAGACAGCATAAAACAGTGCAGTTACACTGATGCACTTTTAATAGATATCAACAGGAGAATATGTATAATGTCATGTCTTACATGTAGTTGCGTTATCAGAACAAGGATCATTTCAGAATTGTCACAAAAATGCACAAAGTAATTAATTTGAAATGCTCAAATAAAATATTGATTTTAGGGAAAAACAACTTGTATAGTAAACTCGAAATATAAAACACAAACACTGACTCAAAAATTGCGATCCAGTTTTTGTGTCCTTACTACCTTGGTACTGAGGTAGCATAACCTGTGCACAGTTCAGTGTCCAGCCACGCAGAAGCAATATCTCTCATCATTCTGCAGTCACCTGTATACTTAAGGTTCATTTACAATTTCACATCTGGTATCCATCCAGCCATTCTGGACTTCGTGTTCTGTTTATGTACTTTCTTTCTTTTCTCTGCCCAAAGCTTTTAAGAGTCTTCTAATCATACATAATTAATTGAGGTTTTCACTTAAATGCACTGCATTTCTCACTCTCATTATTAGTTAAGAGGCTGCTCTTTAGGACTTAAAAATACCTGGCATTCTCTCGATCAGATTGTTCATGAAGCTTGCTGTTAAAACAAATGAAGACATATCGGGTATATGAGTGATAGAGTGAGTAAAAAAAAAAGCCTTTGCATACTGTCATGCGCTGTAAATGTACAAGCTCTTTGACTGATCGTCTGTCAAGTCTGCATTTGGTGGTCCCTCCTGATGGAAACTTCAAACTTTGTGAAACTGGTTCTTGTCTCCCACTCTGCTTTCTCTCTGTGAGTTTACATTACTTGTCTCCATTAAGGGACTCTCCCTCCCTCACTCATTTCTCTCAAAACACTTCATTTTCTGAAAATGTCTGTTCTTTTTTTTGCATCAGGAGACCATGCAGTTTGACCACATCTGAAGGCAATGGTGCCGCAGAAAAATGACTTCCTCCATGACAGGCTTGGAGGCCACTGAGCTGCATTTCACAATGTTACTTTGTAAATATATGAGGGCAAGTGAATACCTACCAATCAAGCTGCAGCAGGGAAGATGCATGCCATGTACTGTAGGGCTTTTGAGTAGCCTGATGTGGCCTCTTTTTAGTAGAATGATCCTTTTTAATCCTTTTTTATGTTTAGTATATGTTACGGCTCGCTCTTTTTAATACAAAGGAATCCAATTAATCTGTGTTGTGAAGTTTTAATTGTTTGCTTCAAAGTCAAATAAAGCCTACAAAACATAAAGCGCAAACTGCATGGAAATGAAAACATAAAGCATGCAGTAACAGCATGAGTGCAGCATGTTCTCATCCAGCGTATACCTTACAACTCTGGCCAACTGTAAGTTCAAATGGAAGAGGCAGAAATGAATAATACATAGCGACTACATTTATGCAGTCAGGGTGTTCATTTTTAGCAAAATCAAAGGCAAGGTGCACAGATAAAACTGCAGCAATTGAGAGTAAATACTGTAAAATATCTGAAGAAACATGTGCTACATTATGAAAAACAAACAAGCAAGCAAAGTAATAGCACGGTTTTGCACCAAAGATTAAAGCTGCACAAACAGAGCCTTATTCATATTAACAAGGTTGCTTGTGTTTGTATCGTGAAAATACATGTCTGATACTGTATCATCGTAAGTTGCTAGAAAAGTGTTGACATTCTTTCTTTTGTTTCCAGTATTTTCTGTCAAAAGGAGATTTGTCAGTGTTGAGAAAGTAGATATGGGCCAGTAATGAAAGCTGCAGTCCATGATTACAATACAAACAAAGCAAAGCAGAAATACACAAATCAAAAGCAAAACATAATACATACATTTTTACCCATATTGAATTATGCTGTGTTATTGGTCACTGTGTTAATGTAAAACATTCTGATAGCAAAATTTAAAAAGAGACCTTTGTGATGAGTCTGTAGACGTTACACACAACTGTAATGTTGATGGAAAAAGAAACAGGTGAGACTTTTATGAGTCATTTTGAAACCATTTTGATAACACCATACAAATCCAGCAAGATTGCTTACCAGATTTAAATATGAATCATATCACAATAGTGGTTACACTTTGCTGAACTTAGTAATGTTTCTGTAAGCTACATACGGGTAAAAGAAATAAGCAACCATAAAAATCAGAAAAATATAGACCAATGGTGGTTAGTGTGTAGTACTCCATGCTAAATGCTAAGACGTGCAGTGCAATGTGCATTGCTAGCATGCTTGGGTGGTAGTCAGCCATGTTAGTACAGAAACGCAGCCCAGTTATGCTAGTAACGTATTGCATGTCTTTTAACCAAAACAATGGAGAATTTACATTTTTGCTGCAATAATTGCCAAATGTTAATAATTAAGGAATCGTCATATTTTGATTGCAATTTGACTTTAAGGGATACACATGAAATTTCATGGTAATCAGTCCAACGGTCTTGTTACTCTGTAATGATACTCAAAACCACAAATGTCATTGTGGCATAAGACGAAAAGTCAGAGCAAAAGGCATTAAAAGTCATCGCCTGCAAGACCAAGCATGCGTATAAATGTCAAAGCAAACCACTGAATAGTTGTGAAGATATTTTAGTCAAGACCACCAGCCGTGTGATACAATAATAATGCCATGCAAAGAGGGATGCCATGTTAAAAGGGATATTTATTTGTGTTTATGTATGATTTAGTAGACATAAAAAAGTACCAAAGGATGATGGTTATATTAGGTCTCTGACTAATAAACCTTCATTACAAATCACCATTTCACTGAAAACACAACCTGGTGAGGTTTGACTGAAAGCATGTGAAAGAACAAGACAGCACTTGGGTCTCTGTGGTTTAAGTCCTCCACCATAGCCAACAGGCCTTGATTGCAGCTACATCCT